TTTCCAGTCACGGCTCAAGGGAAATGGGTTTTCCTGCAAGTAAGATGTGGAAACCATGCCAAAAGAACAAACAAGAATCCTTCATTTCCGGGCTGCATACATGTCTTCGCGAGTGCTTTTTGGAAGAGGAAGCCACTGGAAACCAGTACAAATATATCAACACATGCACATGTGGTCAAGCCTCCAGGCCATGGTCCTGGCCCCCGTAGAAAGCCCTTTGGGTGGCCTAAGCTGAACCCCAAACAGGGGGCATTTGACCAGCCCGGCGCCATCTGCGCGGGGAGCCCACTGCCGGACGTGCAGCTTGGATCGGTGGTACAGGGTGACGGCAGAGTCCTCCCGGGTGCTCCTGCGCGATTCGACTCAAAGTCGCGGTGTTGCAACCTGCTTCCCAACCCCCTTGTAGATACAAGATCCTTGACCCAGCTGAGAATCGTGTCCTCAAAAGATACACACACACACACCTGCAACTATTGTTGAAACAACCTCCTTTGGGTTCCCCTCTTGAGGGATACCAGGGACCGGTTGGCGGGTGCTTCTCCAATGGCAAAGGGTGCAACCACCCCGGGTGGTGGCCCCTGTGTGCATGTTCACATTGAAAACAACCCAAACATGGTAACTTGAAGATACACGCGCATCCACAAGCGTCGCCAACACTGACACTGGGGGTTGCTTCCACCGAGACAGACACCAGAAACACCTTACTCGTTTCCACCAGTTTTTGTTTGGAGTGTCCCTATATCTCCCCCTTAAACATCACCCCACCAAGAGGCAGCTCATCTTGAAGTGGCAGCCCGCAAGGTGACGTCTAGGCAAATATAGCGGCCCCTGACACACGACATGCACAAGTCATGGGTGGTGGTGCACCCAACCGATCTCGTGTTGTTGTTTTCCTCCCCCGGTCACAGACCTCGAAGAGCCCCTAGGCCTTGTTCAAGCTTTAATAGGTAAGCCCACGCCTCCCACAGATCCATTCACGGAGGGACGAACTGACTCAAGGCCAAATGATGTGTAGTCCTTCCTCAGAACTGACTCCCGCTTTTAGCCAGTCAGCCAAAAGCTTTTCATGGCTCTCCTTACGCAAATGAGTATTTGACAATCGAAAATACGCTGAGACAAGGTCTCACACACCAATAGATGAATCAACCAGGGGTTGAATAATAAGCTTCTTCATAACCAGGCTCTCAAAAAGTGTCCTACCGTCCCCCCTTCACCCGAGTTTCCTTTTGGTCGGGTGACGGGCACAAAAAGAAAGCTCACTTGAAGGCCCTTCACAGAAAACTCACTTGAAGGTCTGTCGCACGTCGAGACTGCTGGACTCGGACAGCGTTCAAACCTTAATCTGGGTATGCGTCAAGACGAAGGACCACCCTTTGGCGTATGTGTCAAAAGGAAACCAAAAGAAAGAAACTCAAAGGAAATCAAAGGGAACCCCCCAAAGGAAAGCAAACTGAAAACAAACCGAAATCCAACAAACATCAAGGTGGCAGGTGGTGAACCAGAAAAACACAGTAGTTCACTGTAGTTTGCTGGCTCTGTTGTTTGTTGTGGTTGGCTTGCTTGCAATAGTGAGTTGGCATCAACCGCAGCCTTGCCTTTGAAACGAACCACGGGTTGCCAGCTTTCCTTGGAATTCTCCAGAGAGAAAACCTAAGGAACATGCAAGAAACCCTGAGGAACCGCTCAAGGCACCCTGAAAGAACCTCCAAGGAACCCTGGTCCTCGCCCAGCTCCATGCTGCGGCCAGGCCCATGGCAGCGCACCAGAGGCCGGTGCCTCCCTCGCTCCTGGTAGCGCCGTGTCATCATACGTGAACTTGCGGGCCATTGTCATGGCTCCCGTAAGACGGTTCCTTGCGATTGTCGAAATTCCATGTGAGCCCTGGACATTTCCGTGCTTCGTATGGCTGTTTTCTTTGAGTCACAGGGCCAAGCACTCGTCTAAATGGGGGCCGGTCTCAACCCCTGGCTCTTGTGGTTGAAACTTGGGTCTCGTCCACCAACAATGGACCAGTGCACGAAACGGCGACAGCACACCCCCTTTTGACAGTCGAGGCAAAAAGGGAACCCCACCTGGAGGTCTGGAAAACATTGCAAGCAAACAGAGGAAACCCTCCAAGTCACCCCATTCGCAAGGTCGGATGTGGCTGCTTTATTTGCAATACGTTGGTGGCTCTTAGATTCCGAAAACTATGGGGGGTTCTCAAGGATCACCAAGAAACCTGGTGCGAGGCTCCTTTACCAAAAAGAAGTACCTCGGAAAAGCACACACCTACCCAAACATATACGGGGCTAAATAAAGAATTCGAACGGGGTTCCAGGGTACACCGCAAGAGGTCATGAATCATTGGGAAATGCTCGGGAATATTGCATGTGCGATTCCTTGGCCTCTTTCAGGGGCTGGGGCGGATGTTTTGGTCCGACTGGATCTGGAGCCAAAGGCGCCTGGCCTGGCCGTCATCCGTGGGCTCGCCAAGCTCGCCGGGCTCGCCGCAGCATCTGCCTCCCACTCGGATTCGATCCGCGAAAGCACGTGAACTGCCAGCCAAAGTCACGCACCAGAGCTCCAAAACTTTGGCCATGGCCGTGCTGGGCGGTTTTTCAGAGATACAAAGCACATTCACAGAAATTGGCCAGTGCGTTAACGCTTTTCGTGCGCCTACTGGTTGGAGAAAACGGAATGAAAGAAATCTCACATGCGCCGCGAACCAGATGTTTTCCTGGGCTTCAGACCACTTGTTTTGCGAGAGCAAAGTGAGCTATGCCCATGACGACAACAATGCTACCCCATTAACTATCCCTGATCCACGCTTCAACCAAGCACTTGGCCGAAAGCAACAAGCATGGACCCCAAGCAACCAATTCTGTGGCCCAAAGCTCTATCGACAGCCCTGGCCCGCGAGAGGCCTGCGGGTATCCTCGGGGCGACAACCCCTGCCGCAGTGGGCCTGCAAGGCGTTTCGCATGAGCTGCGGCCAAATTTTGCTGATAGCCCAAAGGACATGGAAAATTTGGAGCGTTCCCGGTGTCGGGCTACAAAGTTGCAATCTTTAAGTCGCATTTCCCGCAGTCCCAGCTCAACATCGCATTTTTTCATCTCAACCGTAGTGCACGAATGCACTTCCGCCAGCTCGAATCACGGCTTTGCAGTACGAGAGCAGTCCATCAAAGGCACTGGAGAACTGCGCGCACACACACACACACACACTTCTGAGCCCAACTTGTGGGAGGAGAGGGTTCCTCTTCACGTGGGGGACTGCTATTTGGGCGGATCGTGGTTTCGCGCAGGAATCTGAAACGCATCGCCGTCTTTTTCAACTTCCACAAGTGCAATTCTAGCAGGCAACTTAAAAAGGGAGTGGAACGAGGACAAGTAGAAGTAGAAGTAGTAGTAGTAGTAGTAGTCGGAGTCGTAGTCGTAGTCGTAGTCGTAGTCGTAGTCGTAGTTAGTAGTAGTAGT